CATTAAATATGCGGAATGTGTCGGCCACTACCGTTTCCAATAAAGTATCCGGTCAAATACGTGCCAGCCAAAACATTTTATTTCTCTGCAACCATCGCTAGTGACAATCACTGAACAATGCAAGGGAAACGACTCATCACAGTCCTGTCTGGATGGAAGTCGCTAATTTCGTATTCTGTGCGAGAATGAGAAAGTTATGACGACTGGAATATCAGTTTATGTCATAGTTTCAAGATCGTGGAAAAATAACTGGGATGTGAAGATGTGGATCCAATAGAGATAAATGGAAGCATATTGAAGATGTGACAATCTGTTCATCAGTCAATGTAAAGAAACTTGCTGTAAAGGCTGAAGAAGACTAATTTTTTAATTTATTCTCTGAAAAAAAGTAAACGAAGGTACGAAAAGAGTTACGGCATCCACAAGAAATGGGGCGTCGAACAATGTGTTCAACATATGGCTTCAGAAACAGTACTACTCGCTTAGATCAACGGAATTTCAAAGAAGACTTATATTTGGCAGCTCTGGTCAATGAGACAAACAACCTCAGCTGCTCTGGAAATTTTGCACAACTTCCACAAAATTGTTATAAATGCAAAAGTCTAGAATGATTATCAAAATAGTGTAGACGAGTGATAGGAAGCATCTGATGATCATTTCATATTTTTCAAATTGAATAAATTAAGTTTTTAGCTGACTTTGATTAGAGCTTGTTGTTGTCCTCGCAAACGCTTACAGAAAAAAAACTGGGTACAGAGTTGTATATAATGAAAATAGTTTGCACATCTAAAGCATTTGCGCCAAGAAAAATTATTAAATTCATAATCTCAAAGGTTTAAGTCGGGAGGTTCCGCTGGCCAATTAGCCAAGGACCACCATCTCGACTTATCACATGTATTTTCTTAGAAGACTTTTAGGATAATCGCAAAATTTTCCTTGCAAAGGAACGTTACAGTTAGATATTTTCTACCAACAACTCGAAAATTCCATAGACAACTTTCTAATTTATTTGTTATTATATTAATCATAACTGCTACTGAGTTAACTATAAAAATATTGAAATTTCAAACCGCAAATGTCAGCCATTGACGCAAACAACGTAACTTCCATCATTAGCAGAATCACACTCATTCTCCACTAATTCCATTAAATTTGGCAAAAAATGTCTTTAGTCATATTTTCTCTACTAGATGATCACCAAGAGCTCTTGTTTATTGTCCATTAGGCAGGATAATCTCAACCTATGAGCGAACTAATCGACTTAACTCAGTAAAGCCGACCTTAATTGAGTGGATTCTTAACCTACTTTAAATTGTATCAATAGCTTATACACAGGAAATACCTGGGAGGTCTATTATTAGATAATTGCATAGGGTGTTTTATTTTTATCGTCCATTTTTCAGATTTTGTAATCACTTGTGAATATATCATCGGTTGTTAAACACTCTTGGCAATGAATATGTGTTTTATAAATATTTTACTGAAAAAACACGTGCGACAAGTAGGAAAACGCTGCATGCTGTTTGGAAGAGAAAAATAAAATGATTCAAAATTTATCAGTCAACTGCTTATATTATTTAATTCCGGACCGGAAATTGTGTTCCTTTGATTAATATACACTCGCTTTGCTCGCCCTAAGTGCGTAAATGCGGTAAGAAGAAATTTATCCGCGAGTTGCGTCAATGGTGATTCCTATACGTTTGAATAATTGAATATGTACTCACGTACATGATAAAATGAACAAAAAACCGCAAAAAACATGTAAGGAAACCGACCTCTATTTTTCTAATTTTCAGTAAGAATTTGTGACTAATGACATAATATAAGAGTGGATGTTTTTCTAGAAAACCCAATTACTGAATGCATCTTTACTAAGAACCCAGATAGTAAAACACCAAACAAAACAAATTAAACTGAGAGCGGCACATCAAACATTTTAAGCAGCAAATACATAATTTACAAAACTATTTACTAATGTTTTCCGAGATTTTGCAATTAGGAACTGGCTGTTTAAATAAACACCATAACTGCATTGAAAAATAATGCATCCAAATATACTGGAATGGTAATTTCTGTTATTTCTGAAAAGTAAAGGAATCTTTTCTCCCAGGAACATACTAAATGCGGCCACACTAAACAAACTTGCTTTGTTAATCGAAACATTTTTCAATGAAATTATAATTGATAACTTATTTTAAGAACAAAGAAAACAAACAAACGAGGCGCAAAATAATTTATTATTGCAAGAGATATTTATGCACATCTGCAAGGTTTCATCGAAAGTGGAAGGATTTTTGGCAGAACTTCGCTGTTTATGAAACCTTTGTTTCATCTTAATTCAATTTCGAAACTATGTGAAAGCTTTTTGCGAATTTCAGTAAACAACCCGCCCTGATGTTTCCGGGAAAAGTAATGTAAAAAAGTTGTAAATTTAATAGATGTGATCAACAATCAGAAGTTGTGAGAGCTGTGTGAACTAGATTATAAAAGCAATAAAAAAGAATTCCTGTTTGAAAAACCTTAAACAAACGCGTACTAGTTTCGGTAAACTCAAATAGAGCAGACAGAAATGACTGATTGAGTGTAATTTGATGACCAGTTGCCTGTTTGGTTTCAAATAGATCCAACCTTGGAATAAAAAATTTTGTTTGCTCATATGCTCTTACAAAATGATACACTTTCCTCGTATTTCGTTCGAAATTCAAAAACATTAATTTTATTAAAATGGCCATAACAATAAAATCTAAATCTTCTTCTACACAAATAACATGTTTCGAACGAGGATAACATTGATTTCAGAAATCAAAACATGTTTTAAGTATCTGGAAGTGTACAAGAAATTTTACAGGATGTACGAGCCCTCATAACAAAGCGATAATCGTCGAATGGATGCCATTAAGTTGTACTGAAGCAAAAATAAAAAAAAGTTGGGCGAAGATGCGTCGAAGAACAGATAAAACTTTCGTAGTAAAATACAAATTCGTTAAGCGTTAATTAATTAATGTTAGTATAACATTTTCATAACGCTAGTAGTTAAAATAGATAGACGATTTACGAGTAAACTAGAGCGGGTTTTGATATCGCGTAAGTCGCCGATAACCTCATAAAGCAAATAATGATTTGTTAGCATTTAATGAACAACAATAAGTTTAATTGCTTGTTAAAACAATTCAAGGAGATTTGGGAGATAAAGGACTGCCTTCGATGCAAGCTATTAATAAGGGCGTCCTTCCGATAAACGCACTTATTATTATTAATTTAATTAACGTTGATCATATCTTTGGATTCCGTGATGAAACTTTATCCAGTAGGAAAATATGAACTAGATTCACGCAAAGAAAAATATTTGCAGTTTGCTCAAACTTTCTGTAAGTACATCACTCCTAATTATGCCAAAAACAATAGAAAAATACGCACAAAACCATGCGTCGTATGATTGGATGAAAAAGCTGTTTTGTGCGATTCTTCTTGGGCATTCAAATGGAAGCACCATTATTAAACAGTGGACAATCAGCGCATCCTGCTTAAGGCGCTTATAAGGTGAATGGTCGAAGGCGTTGAAAAGGTCAAGTAAATACTATTAGTGAATTGAAAAATTAATTGATATTTGGGTTACCAGTTCCATGGCAAATTTTATATGGTGTTTAAAAGGCTTGGAGTGCAAGCTTAAAGGAAACAAATTGTTCCAAGATTTATTTTTTAAACATTTAAAATTTTTGCGGTGTGATTAATGTTTCTCTAATAATTTTAACTGATGTTTTGCTTCCAAATGTCTAATTATTTATCAATTTCCAGTGAAATATTCAATAGACGGATATTTTAGAGAAGAAACAGACGAGAAACAAAATAAATAACTAAAAAAATTACTATTTTCCTGTTAGTATTTGAACACAATTCGTTTCATTGTGAACTGTTTGCTCATATTGGTATAATTGCTGGTAATTTCAGCCTGAGTAATTAGATTCTTCTCCTTTTAACCAATCTCATCTGGCAATGACATAAACCGCCAACATGACCATGTATTAATTAATTAATTAATTAATTAAGAACAAGCCTCTCTTTGTATACGGCGATAGTTGAAAAAGTTGCAAAGATCCCGTAGGTTAAAGCAATTTGTACTAATTTGCAATTTATTTATGACAAAACTAATTAACTTTCGATAATTTTCGCTCAGTTTCTTAAATATTCAGTTTGATTATATTTTCAGCGGCAATTTAACTAATTAATCTAATTAGTTCCTCAATCGAGTCCTCACCGTTCATCAAGGAAGTCATAAAACAGTTTTGTCTTTGATATTTTTCTAATTTGATAAACACGCTTTCAACAACGTTCACCAAAAAAATATACATTCTCAGCATGTACTTGTCTATTGAAGTGAATAACGAAAAGTCCATAAACAATTTTTGGGAATAAGTGGCTTAATTAGAAGCTTCTAAAAAAGTCCCGATTTTATTTAAAATACATATCCTAATGTGGAACCAGAATTATTTGATAGAAAATAGACAAAATAAAATAAAAAAGCTTAACATACATTTTTTCACTTTTCCACAAGACACATTTTCACTAGGCATCACCACCTGGACTTAGGAAATAGTCAATTGTTATGAAAGTAAATTATTTTGTTGAAAAATGCGTAAGAAATGCAGTTAGTGTAGAAAGAGTCAAATAATCAAATTCGATTGGAAACATTGTTTTGCACTTTCAATGCAAAGTGTTATTGCATGTGATGTTGTTGCCTTGATTGTGGGGTTTTAAAAACAAAAATTATGTGACACGAATAAATGAAAGTTGTTTAATCAATATTGGACAATGCATGAATATTTTGTGCAAAAACACCCTGATAAAGGCAATTAGAGTTAATTGAAACAATCAGTGTGATTTTTAAGTTGCGAATAAATTGCTAGATAATTAATGAATAAGTTCCCGCCAAATATCGAATAATTTCTAGGTCTGCATGAAACATTTTTAAGGCAAAAAAATAGTTGTAAAGTAGGTCTTACCAGGTTTCCATCAAGAGCCTCTCTTTTAAAAATCCTAATGTCATTTTTCAAGCATTCACACCGGTCAAAGTGGGCGATTAACAAATAAAACAAAACAAAACAACCCCGAAATCGGCACCGCGCAACAAATGAACAACACACGCGGGTTAACATTTTAGAGTCCATTGTGGTTGCGTCTTTTGTTTTTCGCGACAATGTTTTGTTTGGACAAAGAAACAACGGAGTGCGCGAGGGTTCGCTAAATGCATCTAGTCACTCACTGAGTGCGATTTTTATTATTCGGACTTGTTAATGACGATGATGATCCAGCACATCACAGATATTTGTCATTCATTTCGATAGTGCGAGTTACCGGTGGCCACTTTTCTTCTTGCTCTGCTTCCGGTTTGGGCGCATCGTCGTCAAATTTTCGCGAACTGGAAGAAAACCAACCACAGGCGGGGAAAAAACGATTTTTCCTGTCTGGATTCGGCAAATTGCTTGCTTGATTGTCTGTGGTTTCGGCTTTCGAGGCAAATTGGCGACGACGATATCGAGAGTGCGGTGGACTGGTGGATAGAATCAAGCAAACCTCGCGCACGGCCTACTAGGCTCGACGCTCGAAACAACTGAAAATGAAACCGAGTGCGAGTGTGCTTTGAGTTTCAGCAGCGTTGTTCAGCTGTTTTCTGAAAGAATCATTTTATTGCCAGGGTTTACCCTCCCGTTGATGCGCTTTATCGGCCACGAGACGCGACTGTCCCGTCCCGACGCCGCTTATCAGCTGACATTCTTCCCATACAGGCAGAAGTTATCATATTTTTCCCAGTTTTATAAAATTCCCTAAAATGTGAAGCAATACTGCGTATAATCAGGGTGGAAATCTTTTGGTTGCAAAACAAGATGATGCAAATTTCGTCGATTTTTTGATGATGGAATGTTGAACATTTTTTTGGCTTTTTAATAGTGCAAATTTGCTACAAATTCTCATAAAATCCATTTAACGGCGAATTTTTTTAACTTCACAATTAACAACCAGCTCAACTTCACTTCACAACATCAGTTTTTATTGCTTACAAGAATGTTGATATCATTTGTATAAAATTTGTTGGAAAACATTTTATTTTTCGGCTTGTTTCTTCGTGCAAATTTGCCACAAATTCTCAATTGAATATCATTGTGCACTCAAAAAAACACATTCACTATTATTTTTTGAACTTCGCAATTTATCACCCAGTTGCTCAACAACGCTTCACAGCATAAGTTTTTATGTTTACCAGAATGTTTATATCATTCCTATACAATTTCAGATCACAGCCTCATTTTTAAAGAAAGTTTTTTGTTGTTAAACAGTCGTATTTCTTCTTCAAACTGTTCCTTCAAACGATTTTTAAAGGTCATTTAAATTTATTTTCTCGACGGGTGTTAGTGCTGATTTTCATCAAACTCAACAGAGTTTTAGTACCAATTTTTGAGCAATCCTCTGTTGAATCGCACTCACTCTCACTGTTTTCACAACTTCACTTTCTCAGAAGAAACAATTGAAGCTTTTGAAAGAAAAATTTGAAAACTACCCACAAATATCCGCCTGATCGCATAGTTGCCGTCGTTTTTTTGTGCTATCCCCAAAAACTGCAGATTTTTCAAAATATTTGGAATGTTTTCAACAGAAAACTTTACAAGAAACCAATAAAGATTCAACATGATTCATAAAAGTATAATGTTTAATCTTCCTTTAGCAAACACATGTCACATCCCTTTCCGCTTAAAGCAGCCAAACGTACATACAAATAGATCATAATAAACCTTCAAGAAGTCAACAATCATTTAAACATTATCGGTTCCGATAAATTGAATGGCAGGAGTGCAATATTCCTTTCAAAGAACTGGTAAGAATGTCAATACGTATGCGCTGAGCCTCTTTAAAGCAGCGGTGCAATTGCACGTTGATGTATAGCGACATCGGATAAGAAGCAAACGAGATAAAAATCTGCTTTGTTTCAAATTAAGTGGTCAGTGACATGAGGATTCCGATAAAAAGAAACTGGTAGCACAGAAATGGTAATCTGTCTTTTGTATTTTGCGTCCATCATCAACCCAGCTGCATCAAACTCATGATGGTAACTTCGAGTTCGGTCATCATTATTTATCCTTTAATCCTCTAGTTTAATGCTCTTCCTATCAAATTCTCGTCAATCAAATGTAATAAATATATTCGCTTTTTGCTATCTGCACTCGTGTCAAAACCCAGCATCCTTTTAATCGTTCAGACATAAACACATTTCTATTAACACCAGGAGTTAATTTATACTTAAATGGAATAAATCAACAAATTTAATGTCAATGCTCTTGAGTTTCTCAGCCTCTCTTGGAGGCCACCAAAGTCACCGGATTTACTACGCCAGTTTTCTTCAAAATATGTGGCAAAGATGAAGACAAAAATGGATAATGCTCTAGGCTTCAGATGTTTATCAATCTTAAACGATTAAATTAGGATGACGATGATGATAAAGATGATGTTTTCCGAACTATTAATGCAATTGATTCAGGTATATGAATATTTTGCTCTCTTTTGCTCAATATCTTCCAGAATTGTCAGGGGTTTTCGACAGTTTTCAGCGGAAGTTGAAGCAATTTTGGGGCAAACATAATTTCTTGGGCTAAAAAACAGGCGACGTTTGTTTAAAACGTAATTCTCGTTTGAAGGATATAGGAAATAATTCTGGCTTCGAATTGATTTCGATGATTTGTGATTGTTCATTTGAACCCACATTAAAAGTGATTCACGGAAAATGAGTTTTGTCTTAAATAACCTCTTTTATATGCAGAACACGCGCTTTTGTTGAATTCAATATTCAGGTTTATAAGTTCTAATGCGATTTTCAAAGTTTTGCTCGAAATTGTCGGATATTTGATTGTAATTTCACAGGCAATGAAAGGGAAAAATTATTTTTGATAAATCAGAAGCGCGCCAATTCTGTCTTCAAAATTTTTGCTATGTCGGAACGCGCTAATCTGGTGGACTAACATCTGCAAAATTTCATTAAAAAAACAAGCGGTTTCGAATAAAATTATTACATTTTTATGTTTTTTTTTATAAAACTTCAACACCCTGTATTTTTGAAACGACGCCCTTAAGAATCCTGATTCATTAGAACTTTTCATTTTAAATAAATACCAGCAATCACATCCTAAAGTTTCAGAGTACTTTCGAATGTACGACACAAATGCACACCTGCAATTTTTCAAATTTTTCCAGCACTGAAGCGTATGGTTCGAAAAATGTATGTATTTTCAATTTATAATTATATTCATCCAATTAATGAAAAACCATCAACGTGCAGCTCCTAGTTTGGCAGATAAATGTTGTATATTCCATTAATTCGTTATGAAAAAGTTTATGTATAAAATCTAGGACACGATTGCATTCAACTCGTCGTGTATATCAATAATTGAGTTTTCAACTGACGACCATTGATTCAAATCGCATGTCTTAACTAGTCTACAACGGTTTAATTTATATTGACCCTTTCACTATTGCATAATATATGACAACTAAGACGTGTACTTGTTTATTCCGCTAGTTGAAAAATCTCTTCTTTATTGCCTGGCTATTTATAACTCAGCTAATCTAATTATTAGTTGAATTCAACTTCAGCCGGAATATAGTTGAGCACGGGAACAATAAATAAGTCACCATTGTCACGTTTCTACAATAAGGAAGTAATCAACCCAACATTCGGTATTTCAACAAGATAAAAATCCATGTTTCAAAATGTGCAATCTGTAGTTGCATATCTGCATACATTAATAATCGCTGAAGAATGTTATAATGATAATAAATTTAACGATATTACGAAATTTGTTGAAATTCATTGTTCAATTGTCGAGGTGGGGTTATTGAGTGCAACAATGATGAGACGTGTCGATGCAGGAGAAAGGAAAATTCTTATTGATTAGATTAGCGCAAGTAATTTCGTTTCTTTTGTCCATCCATTGTTCTTTGTTGTGCATCATCTAGCTGCTGACTTAAAAGGCTTAAGGTCGTCACATTTTTCTCAATTTTGCTGAATAAAGCATCATAATATTTAGCAATGATCTAATAATCAATCCGTTTAGTCATAAGATTCGAATTTACAAATGGATAACTTTCAACATATTTTTCTCTGCATAGATCCTGCTTCCTTGACGAACATTCTACCGAATAATGCTGACATTTATCATATGATCCATAATTTCATGTGTATAATTCAGTGTGAAGGCAATTAGCTCAGACGCTGTGGTAAATTTTATGTCAGTTGTATGCCAACGGCCCAGTATTACTTTCAACATCGAAAAAGCACATTAGCATGCCTGAATAAAATCAGATCAAGCCACAATCAAATATTCATGAAAATTAATAGTGGTTGAGACTGCAAAGTGCCGCCGATTAAGAATCGCAAATTAGTGTTAAAATATTTTAAAAAGTGCTAAAGTATATCATTTATAAACACCATCACAAAATCAACAGTCAAAATTTAACATAATCAAATCAGCCGCATTGTTGCCCCAAGTCTTTAGTTAAGCCCAAACCCAATGATTCAATTATTCCATCAAGTCATTAAACTTTTTAATTTTTTTTTCATATTTATCAAACACAAAACTAACATATTAGGACGGTTAAAGTTCAACAGTGCAAGATGTTGATCTGCCCCGCATACAAAGAATCTTGTTATAACATCAATTAAAATCACTATAAAATTTTTATGACTCTTTAAGTCTCAGTAAAGCCCATTATAATAAGGAAGTAAGAAACCGTTCACCCTCATAAAAAGCTATTTTTAAAAATTGACAAAACTAAATAAAACATCCGCATGGAACTTGAAGAAATTGAAAAATGCTGATGGCTTGATGCTGAAGAAGTTAAAGAATCACTTCCAAATCCAAAAATTCATCTAATTAGGCCTGGGTAACACTGTGTTGAGCTGCGCTTTTGAGTTGATGCCGCTCTGTGAGTCGTGAGTTATAACACATCACGTGTCACTACGCGCCGCATTTCGAATTGCGCTTGTGGCGGAATAATTATTGAAATCAGAACTTTTAAAGGACATTTTTGGTTAGTTGAAATTTCGTTGGTTTCTATCATCGCTCGGAAATTGAGCAGCAGTTTAATTCTTAAGTGATTTCTTCGCGGTTTTTTTGTTTAGTCAATATTTTTTGAAACATAAAATTCGGTTATTAGTTTGAGTTTTGGCGCTATGCATTAATCACTGCAGCTGAGTGAAATTGAGACAAAAATAAATGGCTCTAAATCGAAAGTTAAATTAGTGAAAGATCGGCGCTTGGATCGTTTTTCGTTTAAATGTTGTTTACTTTCGTTAAGCTGGAACGTGAAATTTGCTTTTGGAAATATTGCATTGCGAACAGTCACTTTCTACAAAAATGTCAACAATAAACAAACTGCAATCGAACTACCAAGTAAAGTGAATCATGGAAAGGGCGAACAATTAAATGATTAGATAATCAAGTTTATTCGATGTCTTTTTTTCTCGAAAAAGGGTATGAATGTTCAGTTTGCTACCGATAGAGAACGAAATCGGTCGATGATCATTTGCGTCGTGTGAATCGCGTTCTTAGATGGGAAATATAGAATCATTAAGGACCTTATGGCAAGTGCGGTAGTTTGTGAAAGGGTAGTGAACTTCTTGAGGGTTCTCGAAACGGAAGTTCGAAATTTTGACGGTATTTAGAGCGCACTCTTGGCTACTGAGCGCAAAACTCTGAACTATGCTCTAAAAGTATTTTTCGTTTCCGAGTTTTTCGTTACAACTAATCGCGTCTCACTGTGCCGCACTTCGAATTACGCTTAGCATTTAATTCAGGGGCGAATTAAAGCTTTACGAGGTCCGGGACTCGAATTTTAACACCTAACAAAAAAACGGACGACATTCTTTATTATTAACGTTTTACCAAATGGGTGACTATAACGCTACTGCAGCAGTGAGTTACGGTGCCGGTGCGTTGGGTTGACGCACCAAGCCATTTCGGCATCACTGCGCCAACTCCTGAGCATTCACAGAGTTACCCACGCCTACATCTAATGGATCTGCATAACCGCTGAGTGGAATAAAGCAGATACGCTTTAAGAGAGACGAAACGAAGGTTCGCCTATATTTGTCCCCACCCCAACAAGTGCTTTCATGTATGCGACAGGTTCCTTCTCTTTCAAGCGCCTGCATTTTTTGTTGTACCTTGTTCCACTCCTATGTTGGCCTAAGCATAATCGCCTTCTCAAACTTAATTATTAAAGTAACTAGATACGAAAATACTTTCCAATTTCATTATAAAACTTCTGCCCGAACGCTGCGCTCATTAATATTTTTTGACAAGATTGCAATCGACATCGCTTTAGACGGACTTAAATTACAAATTCCAAAACGCAAGTTTAACAACACTCCCTTTAATAAATTTTAATAACGTGTCCAATGTATTAAATGTCGCTTTAATATGCAGTGCTTTATGCAATTACTGCCTTATAAGGTGGAAATTAAAGGTCAGTCTTGGCACTTTCATTTTCAATGAAATGTAATCGTACCTACCTGGCTGGTAGCGAGCAACAACTAGTTTTTTTGATGAAAACAAGAAAAAAATGCTAATTTGCTGATTCAGTAACATGAATTTGATATGGAATAATGCAGGAGAAATCAGAAGCCTTGCCAAATATAGATGCTAACTGATAAAAAATTTGTTCGACACCACTGGACCCATTTTCGAACATTTTACCCAAGACCATGACAGTGTTTTTGCATATAAATTCTTCCCCATTATGTTTCGCTTCACTTTCCATATTCCAAGAAAGTTCAAAGTAGACTCTGGATAAACGACAACTATCGAAGAAAAAACACGTAACGTACGTGTTTATCAGCGTCATTTTGCCATACAGATATAATTTTTTTAGAGAACCCAGATAAAATGCAATAGATAAGGATGACACACGAAGGCCACACTAATCTGTTGCAGTCCGAAGCAAGAAACCAAGATAAAAATACTTTTATTCGAGTCTGACTAAAAAGCTGTGCGAGACTAATGCGGATTGGGATGTTTGTACATGAGAACTGGAATTAATCAAACATGTGCTTGATAAACAACAAAAAAGCTAAAATATGGTCACGAATAATCAAGCCTAAGCTGCTAGAAGTAAAGAATAAATTCAGTGTAAATCACAGTCAAATCAGGTTTGGAATTGAGTTATCTAAACGATAAGTTTCCTTATAAACTAATACAAATATAGGAGCGATTACCTAAATAACGCCTAAACAAGCACCTAGTCTATGTTATCTATGTTCTATGTGGGAAGGGCCTTACCCACTTTAACAAATTATATAAAAGCCACTATTTAAGCTGGTAGGTACCTACTTTATAGGCCAACGTTTCTACAGTTTGAAAGAGACGGTACTGATTTTTCAATTGGTGCGGCTTTCCATGGAACAATGGAGTAGGAACCCGGTTAAAAGAGCATTTTTGTAAAATTCCCTCATAATTTCCATTTTAAATTAAATGCACTTACGTCTTGTTGTTTTGATGGTCTAAAATTTAACAGTGGCGTCTACAAAAAATGCGTTGGCGAGCTGCACATTGCACTGAAACTACGCCATCCGCACCAATTTTCAACAAAGTTGAAAAGCATCTATTTTAATTGACGTGAAAACAATTTGATATCTAGATGAGAAAATTTCAATTAATCAGAAATAAATGAATTGCCACTATCACAAATTAATTTTGTTTGGTTTTTTGCGGCTTGTAAGGATTCAGAGGCTCAAAATTTTTTGAAAATCGAAAACTGATATGGTAATGAAAGTGGTGTTGCCCAACCTTGCAATTGGAAGGCCAATCCAACTATATAGAACTTTTTATTCATTTAAAATAAGAAAGATTGGTTCTAGTTGAAAAAAATCAAAATTCGAAGTCTCTAAGCAACTGCAAATTGGAAAAACTTCTTATGCACAATCTATCTAATTCACCCGGCATGCATGTATACATTTAATTTGTTGAAGAAAATCTTTTTCATTGGAAATATCATGATTAAAGTGTTGACTTTGGTGCAAATTGACTGTTTTTCCTTATCCTTTCAAAAGTGAGAAAAAGTGCATTGAACCTCCGGATATTCGTCCTGCCCACGACGGGAACAGTTTCCGGTTTGTAAAAAGTATTTTGCACGGAACAGTGTGGGGGTGAATCACTCACTGTTCGTTTTTTTCGCTGTTTATTTACATCATGAGTAATTTACATATTAAAAATGCGACAAGAAATTACTCTTAAAATGCCTATTAGAGTTAATGAGTGTGTCCGCCAGTCCACACAGGAAAAATGATAAGAAAAAGAAAACTACCACTAAATATCTAAAGTTGGTCGTTAAATACAAATATAACTTAATTTTTCTGCGTATTTTTAACGTTTATAATAGAAGTCGTCAATTTACTAGTTAGAAACATCTTAAAAAATTGGCTATTGCAAGCCTTTTCTATTGAATATTTTATGAAAGCTGTGATAGAAAATTGTTAGAGTTTTTCAGTTGAATTGTTTTGTAATTTTTACTTTACTATTTAATTTCGCAAATCCTAAGATGTACGTAAACTTACTACTCTAAACTACTCATTCAGAATGATCTTTTATTTCCTTTCTGGATTAATCACTCAAATACATTCAAATGTATCCTAAAGAAAAGGAAAATTTAAGGTTTTTTTAAAAACGGATCTTACCGGTGTCTGCTGTTTCCATTCTCGTTTCGCAGAGCGCTTTTTGCTGCATTTGAAGTTTTTGGAAACTTTCTAGAAACTCGAATGAAACAATTTTATAACACACTCTTGACAATCTGCTTAATAAAAATATCAAAAGACGCTTTCAGAAACTTCAAAAATAAATAGCGCGCTGCTATTCAGATTGGAATTTCAATCTAATGCAGCCACTAAACCGTAGATGGCAGCACTGTTTGTAATGGGCATTACTTTTATTTGAAATATTTTATATAGAATTTTGCTTCATAATAGGATTTCAATTGCTGTAAGCAAGCCAAATACATCGAAATTCCTCAGATATTGAGAATTATCGAAAAAAAAGTCGATTTGTCACTTTTGACAATTTAAATTCGAGGTTAAGCTTTGGTTAGACCATTTTCGATTTTTCCTTCGTAGAAAATTCATAAAATCGTTTGTCCACACAAATCAATCTCCCAGATTTATTACAATCTAACTATGCCAAACGCGTGCATTATTTGCACTAAATCTGCAACATATAAGTGTCCAATGTGTTACATATACTAGTAAGTTGAATTACCTTCTTAACTACCTATATGTGGGAACGTGTTTGTAAATGTAGATACTATTGATAAACTCTTCCCTAAAAGTACAATAATTTCATGAATCAGTCTCTTACAAGTTGCTGCATTCACCTGCATGTACCTGCTTGTAGAGCTGCTAAGTCGCTACTGCAGAATGTATTTTTCATGCTTTTAAACTTTAGCTGTTCTGCCAAATGTTGCAAACAGCACCGGGGGGACGGATGTAAACTTCTAAGTGAAACTGCTGCCGAGCCTGTTGATGAATCTATCATGAACTTTACCAAACACTTTGGAAAAGCTTCTGAAGAAGTGCCAGAAGGTAGACTACAATTACTGAGTAAGGATGTATTTTTAGTATGCTTTCGCTATCTAAGGACTACAGAACCCAAATTCTGGATGGTTTAATTGAATGTAAACTCTAACTGAAATTGTCTTTGAAAACAATGGGTCTCATGATTTAAAGGTGATACTTAAATGCTTTTACTTCAAATTTTTAAAGCAAAACATTCGAAGTATATGATCAAAAAGTTTGGAGCACTTGCTTTACAACTGAACAAAAAGCATTGGTTGCACCATAAGCAAATACTTCAGATTATACGAATAAAGGCATTCATTTGCTTTCGCTGGGAATTCGTTCCTGCAATCGATCATATTTTAGAGTGAACGAAACTCTCAAAAACGCTTAACATCAATTTAGAATCGATTAAATTGATAACAACTTGAATTTTTCAGTACGTATTAGGGTTTATGTGCAAGATGCTCAATCGCATTCAGATCCGGAGATAGCGATGGTGATCTAAAAACATTTATTTCTTGCGAAAGCACCCTTTTTTCAATAATGGGTATATTTCGCTCATTGGTTAATAAGTGAGATGAAAAATCGACATTGTTTAATTTGTTTCAACAGAGCAAAGTGACGAAGTTAAAAATCTGATTACGAATCCACATCTCAGAAATCTACTGGTTACCATCGACAATGCGGAAAACCCTGAAGAGATTGTGCAAAAAGCCATGCTGGAACCCATTTTCGTCGAATTTACTGATGCCTGTATGAAAGCGGTCGAGCCGGAAAATACCAAGGAAGAACCGTTTCATACATAAGCAGATTTTCTCAGTTTCATCCAGTCCCTTTCCATACCTTTTGCATAATCTGTAACTTGTTTGTTGCCCCCTTTCAGAATATAGATTAAGACTGTTGATTGTGCAATGTTTTTTCCGTAATTTGCGCACTAATAGTTAGAAACGTGGAAAGTTTAGTAGTATTATTATGGTTCGGTGTTTTTGCAAAAGATCTTGTCTTTGTAAAAATATATCATCTTATCTTGTCGCTCTTCCGTTAAAGTTTTTGCTGTCAGAAACCGTATTTAACTATAATAATGAATAATTGAAATGTCTAGTTTAATTTGTATTTGTTAGTTTGCTCTAGTTTTATTTTTCCAGCTGAATGTCTTCGGAGTTTTGCCAACTAAAGGCATCACAGTTAAATAAGATTAACTAGAAATGTATGTATTTTTTACAAAACGATTTATTTGCTGCTATTTTTTTAATATAATTTTTTATTCTTAACTACCTACGTTTTTCTCCAAAATACTATGCCTGCACTCAGACTGACTAGTACATTTCAAGTTTTCTTCTGACTCATTTACAGTTACAATAAAGCATCATCAAAGTGCAGTTGCAATCACGTAAGCTTGCAAATCATTTGGAGCCGTAATATTGCTATATTCTTTGGCCAGGCCCCAATATCTCCTCCTAAGGTGATGGGCGCTGGCTTTGGGCTGGCGATTTCTCGTGAATATTCCCTTCTTGTTTCCCCCTACTCGAGTATAATCTAAAATTGATATAAACTCATTGTTTTCGTCGGATTTTCCATTAAAGTTGAGTACCTTGTCTTGTTTTGAAGTCTGCGAAATTCCAAATAAACTCCCCGATGAAAAATCCCTGACTTCTCAGGATATCAAATGCTTCAAAATGTTTGGACATCAGACCGACTTGATATTCTTCGGACCAGATGAAATCTGGAAGCTTTGAAAAGAGAAAATGTTAACCGAAACCAGTCAATAGTTGAGGAACTTACAAAATGTAATCCCTCCAACGTATCACCTCCATACTCCTGCATTATAACCGGCTTATTGAACTTGTTATGCCATGCGGTTGCTTCATTTACCACTTTGGCAGTAACAACATCCAAATTACCTTCATTCGAGTACCAGGCATTGTATCTGTTAAAGCTTACTATATCCACAAATTGTGACTGGAAATTACATAACAATAATCCCTATAAAATAAGTTGTTTGTGGTGCTTACGGATTCAACCACATTGACTCCTTGTGCTTCCACTATCGTTACCGGTCTAGTGGTGTCTAAAGACTTTATATGTTGTACTATTTGCCTGTAACAATAATTTGTTGTTTTGCGGTGCTTCTGGGCTTTTTTCGACTTCCACTCACCTAAAATACTCTTTGGCGGCAGCATATTGGGTTCGAGGTTCATTAGCAGCCGACCACATTACAACTGCGGGACGATTCTTGTCCCTTTTTACTAATTCAGTCAGTGATATCTTGTGCTTGGCTAGTAAATTGTCGGAGAATATCCTGAGCAAAACAAATCAAATTTTTGTTCAGTGAACTAATTTAAAATCAGAATTACACCCTGTGATTTATTTCATCATGAATCATCGCATTCCTCAACTGAATAACAATGCGACTTACTCTATATTTACGCCGGGACATTCATCTATAACCATGATTCCATACTGATCGGCCAAGTCCATAATTTCTTCTGCGTATGGATAATGTGAAGTTCTGTAAGCATTAGCGCCTACCCATTTGATTAAATTGTAGTCCCGTATAATGAGGGGCAAATCCAAACCTATAAAGCATGAAACCTTTAACTTGCTTGGAAATGTCTAGTTTCCTGATGGGGGTATAAAAACGTCTTTCTTAATTGATAATTCACTTACCCTTTCCCCTTATATCAGAGTCTTCGTGCTTACCAAACCCATGTAAATACAAGGGTTTTCCATTAATGAGAAAACTAGTACTATTCCACGTTAACACTCTCAGTCCAACTGGCTGGACATATTTGTCCACGAGGTCTCCATTGGCATCAAACAGCTCTACCTAAAAGTGCCATGAAATGGCATTTGACTATAAATAAACTAGTTAGTTTCTACCTCAAATGAATATAAATATCCCGGTTCTGGATCCATTAAATAGGGCCACCACAGTTTGGGGTTTTCAATGGATAAAAGTCCCTGGCATCTGGAAGCAGACTGTTCATCTGTAGTGAGGACTGTCCGCCATTTATCAGATAAACTCACTCGGCAAATAATATCATTCACTCCTTCTATGGTCACATTGTATTGCAATTTGGCTGTGAAAATATAAATTAGTAAATAAAATTCTTTAATTGCTTCCTTTTTGTTTGTCATTACATTGTAAGAAATTTTCAAGTCTTACCCAGCTCGGCTGTTGCTTCCGCTGTAAATACTGTTATGTCTTCCACATAAGTCTTTGGTGTAGTATACAGTTTCACTGGTCTGTGTATGCCAGCATAGTTGAAGAAATCAAACGTTATAGATTGTTGCAATCTTCCACTGAAATTAATTTAAATTATGCTTGAAAACCGCTTACTTTGGGAATGTATTTGTTTCGTCACTTAAAATTCTCAAGGGAATTACAGAAGGTTTTATTGAAGACTGAAAAAAAACTGTTTTAACTACAAACCTTTCCAGCTCAACTACTCGCCCTTGTGGAACCGTATCAGGCAGCAAAGTGTTATCCACTGCTACTGTAACATGGTTCTCTTTGCCATATTTTAAATAGGCGGTCACTTCTGCAAGGAAAGGTAAATGCCCTATTTCGTGGCTCATGACCAGCTGTCCATTAATCCACTAAAAATGAGCATATGAAATTAATTGCATTTTTTATATTTATTGTGGTATTACCACTTGTGCAGCGTAATTCGCCGACTCGAACCTCAACCAGACCCGTCCAATTTCAGACCAAAATTTCGGTACGAAGAAGTTTCTGTCGTACCATACCAGACCTACATGGTCTCGTAATTTCGGATCGGTAGTGATATCGTTGTAGCTTGCTGGTACGGGCATTTGGATGATTTCAATGTCCGGAATCTTTTGAACAGGGAAAATAAATTGTCTCCAATGAAACTTAACTAGCTAATTTTCTAGGTAGTTTATCTCCTTGCGTTCGGAGTTTAAAATGTTCTAACATTAACGAAAATCCTCTGAATAATATCGAACTTTTCTTGCGAGAATTAAAATTTTTCGCCAATTGTATAAGCCGTAAGCATCGCAGTTTTTTTCATAAACTAATCATGCGATTCAGGCATAGGAATGCATTGCTTTGTAAACATCTCGATCGTGATTTTCAATTTAATCGCAGATAAAGTACAGCATTCCATTCGCAACAATCGCATAACTCATCATTATTGACTCGCACAAAATACTATTGTAAATTGTGAGTACACGAATTATCCTTTATGTAGTGACTAGGCGTGTGTTTAGTAGTTGACCTAGGTAAAGCATGTAAGTATTAGGATATTGCGGTTTCAAGGCACCGGTTGTACCAAATTTGCTTAATTTAAGATTAATTTGCTTCAACTCGGCCTAGTTATTTACTGCGTAAACAATCCTTTCAAACCCTCTTCAAAGCAATGAACTGAAGCTGTTTTAATGCCTACTCCACCTGGTCAGTTCCATCCAGTCATATCAAGTTGATTTTTTCCTGCTTTTGACTGCTGAAACTAAACTTAGTGCGGTGCAAACCAGTGCTACATCCTGTATATTTTAAATGTTTGGCTTTGGAGAATGCCCAGAGGGTTTCTTTTACATATGTAATTTTAACACACTAGACTGTTTTTTTGTTCTTAAGTGATTTTCATGAAAATATTGCGTTGTTTATTGATAAGGAAAATATCCTCGGGTAAACATCGTGATCGCTCAAAAACTGCTTTAAATGGACCAAAAATGTCCATTTGTTCGGTTCTGAAGCTGCGAGGGTGTTTAGCAATGCATTATTCGCTTCTTTGAGATGAAAACTGTGTAGAATGCGAAGCATTTTGAAACAATTCATGTTTTTTCAGCAATTCCTCCTCTACCCTTTGCAAAATTTCACATGCACGGTTTCTGCGCTCAATAGATTTATTTCGCTCTGGGAAATGAGTTTTTATGTATTTCCTATGCGCTTTTCGCCGCCTATGGACTTACACACTATGGAAATACATGTTTTCCTTCATTTTAACTTCTTCCACCAAACGAAGCGAACGCGCTGAATTTTGTTGGCGTATTTGTACTTCTTGTTATATTGTTGCGTTATTTTAAATTATTTTAAATAGAAACCGGCGATAGGAACCGGGGATAGACCGGATATAGAAATTAATATTTTGATACATTTCAATCTCTAAATTTGGTGCGTTTAACCAGTTCACATTAAAAATATTTAATTTTACCTTGCAAGAAAAGCGCACTGGAATGAATTTCAGCAACAACATAACTAAGAAGCATTTTAATTTTAAGTATAAGATTATTAAATGACTTAGGCTGAAGCAATAAAAAAAACTGTTGAATCAAACAAAAAAACTAAAGTTACTCGAAACTCTTCAAACATGAAATAAACAGAGTTGTTGCACCTGGATTGAATTACTTTCTTGGAGCGCATAAAAATGTGATGTTTTGCAAAGCAACAAAAATATTTTTCAGCCTTAAAAGTTGCAAATTTACCTTTATTTATTCATCTATGCGAACTTCTCGTTTAGTTTTGAAATTGAGGCTTTTAGTCTTTACTTTACCTTGATTTAATGTAGGAAATGCTGCTGTGTTGTACATTAAGCACCGAAACTTGGCACTTTATAACACAAGCAAGCACAATTTAGTTGCATTTAAAAAAATGTAAATATGAGCATTTTTTGCAATATTGCGTGTAGCAAATCGGGCATTACATTTAGAAGATACATAGGCAGAAAGATTGATGAACCAGCCAGAAATAACAACAAGTTACATGATTTATATTTGCATATTTTAAGAAACTAATAAAACTTTTATTGGCCACTAACCACGAGCTAACGAAAATTTAAATATTTTTATTTACGAGCGAAACAACGTTGATCCAAGTACTGTTAGATTATTTCGAAACCCCCCCGGAAATGAATAATATTGGGTTGTTTCTCGATTCTTAAGTACTTACGGTATTGAGGTCCTTTTTGTACCAGTGCTGCTCAAACCCAATATATGGGCTTGAACTGTAATTAATGCTGGGAGAAACAAAATTCCATATTCCATCCAAAGAGAGCACTTGCCTGGTTTCGGATTCGCGCGGAAATAGAATACCGCCTCTATGGATTGTGGCTTTTGCACTGTAGAAGGTGTAGATGTTTACGACAAAAATCACCCATTTTAGAAAGGTCATTTTTCCTTGAGATCGGAAACAGCAAACCTCAAGTTGTGGAAAGTTTTCTTCGAGTTTCACTCACCCTAGACCTACTTTCAGATGAAAATAAATGGGAAATTTCCTTATTAAAATTTAAATTATATATAATTTTGCTAATCGAGAGACGGCACGGTATTCCGAGGCTTTATGTTAAACCACCCACATTAGTTTGCGGTAATCGCAACGCGCGCTTTGTATCAACTGAATTCGCATCTTCCTTACAACCGCTAATATTTAAATTGTACTCTGCGTTTTCTGCTTGATATCTGCCAGATACACTACTTACAAGAAGCGAACTTAGTCGCAACCCATTTAAGCCGGAACTCACGATTTAAATCATATTTTCAGCCGAAAAAAATCCAACCATTCACATTTTGCTTTGTAACGAACAGGAATAATTTGCAATAATTATTGTGAATACATTTTTCAAAATCGAAATTTAAATTTTGCACGGTTTAGGTTTTTGCCATACGGATTTCAGAAATTGTTAGCAACTGAAAGTTTCATTAGCATGTTAACCGCTCAATTTTTTTGGTTTTTTGCCCAAAGTTTCGCTGTAATTTTCAATGCGTTTGGTTCTAGAACCATTGCAAAGAAAAAGGGTTTTTAAGAATGATTGTTGCAGATGCGAGTGAAATATCTAGAAGAAATGGCGGTAAATCCACTTGTTTAAGTCGAGATACGACTTTTTCACATGAAACTAGTACATGATTGTAGAAATGTGCATTTTTGTAGGGTTCAAAAAATCAACCACATTAATAACAGGAAACATTTTAAAAGACACTTACACATTTTTCCATGGATAGGTGAATTCCGTTGATTAATTTTAAAAATGTTGTAATGCGAAAAATCGTTTAGGAGCTTGATAATAACAAATCCTCAAGGTACGCAAATAATTTTTAAGTCAATTAACGGTTCAATACGTATTTTCAATACTCACTTAATATGCCGGAAATTAAAGCAGGAGTTCTGGGCATTAACAGTTGTTGCAAATTGCAAAAATCTATTTTTTTGCTATTTGACTCAAAAAATTTTCCAAGGTAAAACATCTAGTAATAAAAATGATCAAAAACGTGAACGTTTTTTAAAAACACTTGACTCTTATTGCGGGATCGTGTTACATGCTTGCAGGTAGGTATATTAACGCAATTTTGTGGCGATCATATGGTAATTGTTGTAAGGTTGTGCTAACTGAGAGGTAGATTTTAAAGATGAAGCCTTGGATATGATATATGAATAAAATGAGTCGAAGACCTGGGCAAGTCTAGAGGTGAACATTTGCATAATGTAAAACCGACAGAACATTCCTAGAAATACACATCAACTGTCTGAATGCGAACCCATTTCTTATTGTTTTAGTGGTTCTTTATCTGGTTGGCGTTTTACATGCTGTACCTTAAATACCACGAAGAATCTTGCAAGTATATTTTTTCAATATCAGAATATTTTATTTGTTAAACGCTGGATAATGTCAATGTTTCTCCATAGATCAGCAGTGGTTGCATAAGTTACAAGTATGTAAATGTTTTGAAAGCAAAAAAACGTAAATCACGTAATATTAGCTATTTTGTGTGCATCTGCACAGTTAAGGAGCTGATAAATTAGTGCTCGAACGCCTAGTAAATATGTATTATTTGATTAAAGGTAAAAATTTGCAGAATATGCCTCTGGGTTTTTTTAGTAGAATAATTTAAATTTGTTTATTATATTTAAAAAATTATTTTTGGTTTTTTATTGAATATGTATTTGATAAGTGTGAGAAGCAAAAAGAAAACCTGGCTCTAGTTAGACAGTTAGATAATCGCTCGGTAGGTATATGCATTTTTTACTAATTTTTTCTCTTGTTAACTACTTTATTGGGATAAAAAACACAACATTGGAACATCAATTTTTTTCAAGCATGTCTTTATTTATCAAGACAACAAATTTTGCTTGCATATCCAAGAAGTACGGGTTAAATAAAATGATGAATATGTCCTTAACCTCAGCATCGAGTCAGTAAACCGAAAAAATAATACATAACACTAACCAATAGTGAATAAATTTTCTTGTTCTGAAATGAGAAGAAAAAACCCAATTGAGTTTATCCACACTACTTGCCTTGATAAAACGTTAAATCTACCTGTTATTTATCTCTGCGTTGCGAGGGTAAAGACCTCACCATCCAAATCAAGTTTAGAATAATAATTTTTGTGAACAGCGATTGAAAATGAGACTGCGATTTAATGATGAATAATTTATCTAACTCAGAAATATTCAGTGATCGTATTCAGATCTGAGAATTTGAATCTTCCTTTTATTTTGCCCAGTTTTAGTTCTATATGCTGCTCCGCTGAATTAAGTTGAAATGAAATTTCGCATCGTTTGCAAAGGAAAGTTGCCTAATGTGAAATGTGGGTTCAATTGGTTCAAAATTAAAAAAAATCAGTGATGGTCTTTTAGGCGAGTTTTAAACTTCTTTCCATCTTAAAAAAGATTCACGCAGAATCAACACAATTCGGCGCTCTTATCAATGATGTGAACTCGATCAATTTATTCTTGTGTACAAATATATTTTGTTTGTGGTCATAAAGATAACCTTTATCGCCACTGGCCAGATTGCATTCAGGGAATTTGACTATGAATGAACATCTGTAATACTGATATTTTGTTAGTCGCCTATAATTAGAGATTTATAATTGCAAAATTAAATGGAAATTGTCAAAAGACTTTAATATTTCATATTTAAAATACTGGTTTTATTTAAAGTTGGTATATTTTGTTGATTTTATTAATTGTTTCTTTAATACTTACGCAAATAAAATTTAGTCGATTAGTAAATTTTGCAATCTGCTCAAGCCGAAACGTTGTATTGTCTTTCAATTAGTCGTACAGAAGTGCACTAGGAAAGAGCTCTAAGCCAATTTTTCACTTTGAAAGTTGTACAGAAAATAATCTAAGGAAAATAACAGTGCATTTAACAGAAAAAGAAGATTCATTGAAAATAGGAAACTTACCATAAAAAGGCACAAACCTCACTTGCTCCTTAAGATCTAAAACCTACTCGGGCCATTCAAAAGCCAATTATGTATCGGTAACCTCGAATATTAAGTAATGATTAGTTTTTAATTTACTTATCGCGGCCATGTACTGCTAGTTTATCGTAAAGAAATTGCATTATTTACCAAAGAAATCGAGTTCGAGTCCAATCCTGATGGTATTGAAGTATACCAGCGGAATACAAAGTAGTATTTTTTAAATTTTTATATAGGCTTAAAAATCCAATTCTATACTACATACTGGTTATACGAAGAAAGAAATTGTTAATGTTTTTTCGAAAAACTAAATGGGAATTTAAAAACTTGAAAAACTCGCGCGCAGGAAAGTGCCCAGTAATTTTTTAGTCCGATTTTGCCTACGTTCGTTTTACACTTACTATGCTTTTAAGAGTATTTATAAAAAAAATGTTACATGGCCAATTTCTGCCAAATACAAATAAATCTAATACACAATTTCAGGACAGCCTGTATAAGTCAGCGGGATCTAACTCCTTATAAGTACATGCCAACGAGAGTGAATATTACAGCATCATCCCTGCGGGTATTCGCAGCCGTTATGCGATTGCACACATTGTCCTTATATAAACATAATAGACTAATATTTTTATTAAACTGCTATTTATCTCTATAATCTCGATAGTTTTCGATATGCGATATAACCACGAGGGAAAAATTACGCTCTTTTAAACTGAAGGAAATTGAAACTAAACTGTCATCAGTGTTTCAAATATATTATAAAAAAGTGCATTTATGTCATCAATAGTCATAGTACGGTCTTCTTATTATAACGACTGGAACTATTCCTCCTCCAAAAAATGGTGGCGGTGGAGGTGGCGGCGGTCGACCGAATCCTCCTCCAAATCCTAGAGCAAACATTCAATAAAATCTAACTAGTTTTCGGGTAAAAAAAACAGTTTACCTCTGCCTCCTCCAAATCCTCGTCCGCCACCAAATCCTCCCCCAAAGCCTCCTCCGAATCCTCCTCCAAAGCCGCCTCCAAATCCACCTCCGAATCCTCCATGCGGTTCAGGTGATCGCTTTTGTCTTACATAAACTGAATTGGCATTTGCGACTAAAACGTTAAACAATGTATTGCTTTGCAAAAACTGGGTAGACGATTAGACATGTTTATTTATGAGTTTTTGCTTCTTTGAGTCAACTCTCATTTTTCCCTACTTCCTTTTTTATTATTATATATCATTTGCCTTTAGTTCAGCTTATTTAAGACGCTAATATACATCCAAAGTCAATAAACATGCTTAAAAACTGAAATAACATAGAGGACAGTCACCTACTTGGAAGTCCATTTGCAACACTAACAATGAAGACTGTAGCACACACTGCGAGTAAAAACATAGCTTGTTTTAAAGACATTTTTGCACTAAAGCTGGTTTAGCTTAGCGCGTTATGAGAGGTCAACTGCCCGTTATTTAAAATTGATCATTTATTTATAAGAAATACAAATTAGCACCGCAAATTCATCTGTTTGCTGAAGTGGTTAGCGAATCGAAAAAAATACCCACAAACAAGAACGTATTTTGGTCTAGAGGTGTTTTCTAGTCATGATCTTCAAAGTGATGTTCAAATTCCAAAGTCACTTGGGAAATAATTCCAGGATGTTGTGCAACATGTCACAAAACCAAATTAAGCACAAAAGTAACAATTTTCATTAAAAATGTATTTTATACAACTTAATATATATAATACATACAGGATATAATCTAATATTTATAGCATTATCTAAATAAAAACTATCTACAATCATTATATAGGCACATATTGTAAATATACAAGTTCTCTGAACAGTACGAACGCAGCTATACAAAACGTATTAGTATATTATGTAGACTGGATATACATACATTACACAAACTTTCAAACGTTAGAAATATTACATTTTCAAGCGTATTTTTAGGACTGATATTTACATTTATTTTGGTTGAAAACAAAGAAAAAACACTTCGTTTTTAGTCATTTACATTCCGCCTTTCGACATAAAGTCGTTAGACGTGGCTCTTTTCCTCTATACATTACTAAAACATTTATAAATCACTAACTCGACGATATTCTATAAGCATGTGGGTTGTATTTTTTTTTTAATTAGCTGAGGCAACCGAACAGGAATCGAATATGGAAGGAACAGATTGCAATTGGTAAGTGAATTTTTATAAATGAGTTTTTTAAAAATTTCTTATGGAATTTGAAACATTTTTAAATTTTAAAGTGCAGAAATGTACCAGATTGTGATACACTTGAAATACCGATAGCGGAATGACAAGAAAAGGCGGATATTGGGATAATTCAGTTTACAAAATCAGTATTTAAAAAAGTTCTTTTATAATTTTTTTAAATTGTTCCAGTAGCTGATGATTATTTATTACCGCCGGCCAATGATTTAAAACCGATGTAGTTAACTTGTTTTGAGTGAAAGTCTAACGGTTTATATTTTTTTTATTAAGAAAAAAGTCAAATTTTCTTTTAGACTTTTGAGCTATAACTTTTGACCGATTTAAAACAGCTTTAAAACTTGTCTTTCTTCTATTGTCTATTAGATACCTGACATTTTTTTTCACCTATCGATCAATGCGTTTTCCCAAAAACATGGCTATTCTTAAAACGTGTTTAAAATATTTGGGTTTCCATTAAAATTGTATTTCAAGTCGATTTTTTGGTTACATGTTTTCGTGTTCAAAGCAAAGTTATTTGATAAAATTGAAATAAGTACTTTTATATCTACATTTAAACAAGTTAAAAGGCAACAAGGAAGATATTGGTTCGGTGAAATTTTGGCAAACATCTGAAAACCTTTTAGGAAATTATGAGTTATTTAATTTCGCACCAGGATTAGTTTTTTGCATAAAAAATGGTTTTCAAAATTATTAAATGAATTTATACGGAAATGTATGAATTAATTTTTTTGAACATAAATGTTACAAGAATATTTTTATATAATTTCTTTGTAGTTTCTAGATACATCGACTTGTATATTGAAGTGTTCATTTTGACCGGAAAAAACAGAATTTAATTTAAAGAAACACATTACAAGCGTGGAACACTTCGGTAGAACTCGATGGGAAACGTAATATTTATTGTACTCAATATTTATACACAGTTTTTCAAATTACATGAATTAAAATTTCATTAAATGTACAAAAACACTTTTGGACAATTTCTCATCAACCAATTGCACGGACCACTGTTTGCGTTTTCACAAATTTTGACTGAAAATGCTTTTTTTGGCGAATGTTTTTTGGATCTGGAAACCGAACAAACGGCAAAACGACGCGCTTAAAGTCATTACAGGTAGCGATTTGTACATAACATTAAGAAAATTTGTACTATGCACTGTAAAGTGTCTAGTGCTCTAAGAGTGTGTACAACTAGTTCATAATATCGTATGCTCTGTGCGAGAAATGATCAATTACAAATCACAGTATTCTAGGGAAACGTTCTTACCGAAAAGTGACCTGCTGCCCATAAATGGGCGCCCACTCAGCATTTGCGCAAAACAATACTTTGTTTTTTACGCAGAAGTTTTTCAAATGTAAATTGTGTTTTATATTTTCTAGTAGCTCTGAGTATTAATCCGCTAATACTGCAGTAATAGCGGATCAGTTAATACTGCAACAATAGCGGATGACATGTACTTAATTAAAGTGAATTCACAATTTTTTTTTATATCACTGACATTTTATTAAGCGACTAAACACGATCGTGTCCTGCTTCGACTATAAGTGCGCCAAAATTTCCATTTCAGAAGGAATTTCGGTGATTTGAATGGTTGAATTGTTGTCCTGTGCGCTACAGCCGCTCACAGTGACGATCACAGGATTTTGATCATTGGTCTGCACAATGGTCACTAAATTGCCATCTTTCGAGCCCTCTAAATCGCCTTGACCACCTTTGAGGAGCATCTTCAAGGGATTGATGTCGGTCGCTTCCGGCTCCATTTTCAACGAATCCAAAGTGAGATTGTCGAGGGCTATATCTTCTTCAGTACTGCCCAGGATATTTACAACATTTACAACCTGAAACATAACAAAAAGCAATTAGTTTAAATGGCCTACGGATGGAGTAAAGAATTCAAAAAGTTGTTGGTAAGCGGGTTTAATATGAAGATGGTGGGACGATGTATATTGTTGAGGACAAGTGAAGGTAAATTTTCGGAGGGGTTTTGTAGAAATAATTGTAAATAACGCGATCAACGGCATCGGCCACTCCAAACGAACAGTGGCCGATTTTCCCTTTTAACTCGTACACTTTTTGAGCTTCCTTTATGTCCTTCACATCTCGGCCTTAGTTAAAGAATTGTCAGAAGGAAGACAAATTTTCAACTAGTGTAACTTGCCAGAGTAGGAATCTTCAAAAGGTTAAATTTCTCTGATACCTGAAGTGCATTTTTTGCTTTAAACATACGCCCACAACCAAACTCTATTTGCAATATATCCTTTTGTTGTCATGCTTCTCAAGGAAAGCGCAAAATCCTTGTATCCTATTGGCCGCCAGTATGTCCCGATTTACCACCCAGTGATTCTAATTGGGACTCGATTGAACCAATCGCGCACAAATTCGTATTGTACTGTTTACATAACAAGGAAAAGGGTCTACATTAACGTATTTTTTGCTTTAAATATACGCCCACCGGCCACACAAATTATTTCATGTAGGTATTTTAAACCGGGGAGACGCTAGAAGTGCAAATTAAAATGGTGTTCGTTGTTATCAATCGTTTAACTTGCAAATTATATTTTTAGGCACATTTTTATTCTTTTATTTTTTATGTTTGTTCAACAGTTTGCTGAAAATATACAGTTAACTCCAGCAAAATTTTAAAGCTATTTGTTTCTTTTTAATTGTATTTGAAATGAGAAATGGTTACCGGACTGTCTGTATATTTGCATCAAGGACGAGAATTTTTAAATGAAAACATATAACTCATAGCTAAGAAATTTTTTTTTGTAAATTTTCAAATAAAATGATCCTGAAGGCTGATTATCAGGTTTTTGGATAATATTTTAAAGATAAAGATTTTGGCAAATTGACTTGAAAATTGTTTTCAACTAGATGTTATAAACATAGTTTAGCGTAAAAAAATTATCCATTAAACGCGAAAAGAAATCGCGGTAGAAAATTGAATTTACGAAACAATAAAATAACGGGTTTTTATTTTTTTTATATCTTGTGAGTTGCATTGACAATTTGTCGATTGCAGACAGAAGTCAAACTTGGTTATTATAAGCTAAAAAGTACAATTTTCGCTACAAAACTATCGAAAATAAATGTGAAATCTGTTATTATTTAATAAAAATAGCATTATCAGTAGAAAGGAAAAAACACTCACTGTTTGCTGGTTCGGCCAAATGATTTGTGGAGAAATAAAGTTGGAAGCCAATTAAAATCAGTAACAAACATTTGTGCAGGTTGTGCTTTTGAAGAGGACAATTTCTTCTCAAAAATTTAATAAATAGAATTAAATATTTGCCCTTCTAAGAACTTCCCTAAAAACGCCACACCTGCATCGTACAGCTGTGAAACGATTTATTGTTAACTGATGCAAATATTAATTATTCTTGATAATTTTATACAAATACACGTGTAATGTAATTAATCAGCCAATGGAACACATTTTATAATTAATGATAAGCATACTATAAAGGTATGAATAAAAGTCGCAAAAATATCAATTTATTATGTAACCCATTTTTTGCTAAAAACAACGACAGTAATAAATACACGTGAGTTTTCGCCTCAGGTTTTTCATACGTGTTGAGATGACCACATTATATTAATAACGTCATATTGACGCATGTTTCGGTTATATTTATCTTGTTTTTTCCTATCCCACATATTTATGGCGACCGCTGATTCTATCTACTTATAAAAATCGCCTTTTGCAAACAAGAACAGCGACTTAATTTCGAATTTACACCCGCACATTTTTGATTTAGCATATAAAATTGTCAATAGAACACTTTCACCAAACCGAAGATGGCCAAGAAGTGAATGCGTGACTCGTTTAAAATTTCGTCATCAACCAAATTTTTGTAGTGATTTTGACGGGTTTTTTTTACCAAACTGAGTTGGCCAAAAACTTATTAGTAGGACTTAAAATGTATTAATTTTGAACTTTGCTATCAATTTTTTTTATTTTTCCTGAAAATGTGGGGCAAGCGACTGCTTTGCTACTAGAAAGCTCGCTTTCTCCTGATCCCTCTTGACTTAAATCGCTCACAAGTTTATGTCCTAATTTCTTCAGTAGCTGAATCGTTTATTGAATAAATATTATGGAAAAAATGTTCGCAGTTTCCAATATTATAACTTACCGATTCTTGATTCGAATCTGAAATAGAAGAAGGATCCCGCGAATGTAAAATGGAGCCATTTGTGAGAGTACCAGGTCGATTCGAGCTGTTCTGCGATCGGTACGATGGCGGACAACTGTACTCAGAGTGATTTACCTCTCGTCTACTGGAAAGTGGAGCCCTAGGGGAAAATGAAAAACGAATAAAAAATTAAACAGAAATTGTGATTAACGAACCTTAATAAGCTTCCTGCGTGACTTCGGTAGGTAGGTGGAGGAGACACGGCATTCTGAATCCCGGATTGAATTTGAGGCGTGTTCCCTCGATCCAGCAGAAGCAGCCTCAATCTGTACTCCTGCATCGAGGCCTGATAACTAGGAGGCGGAGGCCTAAAATTGAACCTTGATAAGATTTCCAGAGTTAGCGACAGGAAGAATAATTACAACAATTACACTTAGGATGGCGTGATCAATGAACGAATTAACGATTTTAAGTGGCTGGATTCGAACGTGAATTTTTGAATGAATATGTGATATAAATGTTACTGACCTGTATTGAAATTCGGGATACATCATGGCAGCATAGGGATGATGAGGCCGCCCATATGATGGAGGTAAGCGAGGAACGAAACGTCGGGTACATACATCTACAGATTCTGTCGATCCCAGTCCCAACATTGATCTACAGGTAGAAGAATCATGGGACGTGAGTCTCCAGGCGACGCCACTGACCGTAATTAATACTATTCCAACTCCTAAAAGGGAACAAATTTGTTTAAAGAAAATGTGATTTTGACAATTTCTTAAAAATAATACAATCCATTGAAGCTTAGAACATTTTTGTTGAGAGCAAGAAAAAAGATGTTTAGTAGATATAGTGAGAGAGTTAAAGAAGTTTAAAAATCAGCCACGATTACTTTCCAAGATTGTTTTTGAAGAAGTATTTGAGAAAATTTTCGTGCTCCTGCAAAAATAATGACACTCATTGAAATAATCGTAAAATATGTTTATAATAAAATCAAATTATGAACAGTCGAAACACATAAAATCCCTTGTACGACACTGTTTACGATTAGTGCTAACGCAGCTCAGTGCCAAAGGACGTAACGTAATAGGTTCCCTTGAGGACTCCGGATGCCTTAATTATCCCATTATTAACCGGAATATTGCCGCAGTAGTCAACGTGACAAAAAGGGATTAATCAGGAACACGGATTACAATGCGTATACAGGGTGATAGGAAAAAACTGGACACTTTTGCTCTTTAGGGAACTAACTGTAGTTACTTTATAGTCTTCCATACTTCCGTGAATCGTAACAGTTTAACGAACGACATCCGTTAATAATATCAAATTTCCGTCTCGCTTGGTGGACAAGCAATAGAAAATGAACAACCTTTATTGCGTCATTGCCAATAAGCTTGGGGAGAACACACTTTGGCGTAAATCTGAACATTGAAGAGTTTCGCACCTGGATGGCTGATCAAATTAAAATGTGCTTTATTGCCACAGAAACATTTAAACAAATTATATGGACAAAGTCAATGGCAAAAACAATATACAATAGAGCAGATTCAGTTGAAAGTTGCAGGCAGAAAGCCCTCAAGGCTCTGAAAATTCTACTGTTATCGCTGGGCAGATGATTAGGAATTAGGATCCGAATTAATAATATATATCCATATAATTTTCATTTCGTACACTTCTAAACATTTTTTTGGCTCGATGCTAACAAACATGGTGTCCGGAAACTAGAGTTCGGGCCTAAACAGTTTTCTGCAAAAATATGAGAAGTCGAGCTTTTGCAGAGGAACATTTGACACATGCAGATGAATATTACGTTTAGATCGCATTTTCAAGTGGTTTTTTGTATTTAGAGTAAATTTATTTGGCCATAAAAAACTAAGTTTCAAAGTCGAATTTTTCGAAAACCTTAAAAATTTCAGATTCAACGCTAGACAACTGGAGAAAAGTTTTATGCCTTAAAGCCCAATTTAATCGTTCTAAAAACTCAAAACCGATTTGGAATTCTCAATAGAAAAACTGTAGGTGCAATAGTAATAGCAAATGAAAAAGTCTTGTTTCTCTTTTAACATTCAATATACCTAAAACTCCAAACTTTCGAATAGGAACAAATAAATTTAGTTAAATTGCAATATTTTTGCAAAAAAATTGCCGTGGTCAAGTATGACTTTTCCTTAATTTCGCTAATTAATTTTTTGTATAATGTTAATACATAAATACATCAGCAATCACTGTAACGTGGCTAAAAGGAGCTTTTACACATGAAAAAGGTTTTTTCTAGTTACTTTATCCAGAAAAATCCTGCAAGTACGCTAGAGAAAATGGTTAAAACATGTTTTCGACAATCTGCGCAATTCAATATATCAGTTCCACTTGTAAATTTCATCTGTACTTCGCTTCTTCATCCAATTCACTCAGATACTTCAAGGATTTCGATTTCTCATTTCAAGCGCTTTATTCCCCGAAAATGCCTTTATTTACAAATTGCTTTTCGTCGCTGCGATTTTATGTAGCTCTTAAACCGTTTTATGAATGCGAACACATCGAACAAACTTGAAAGAGTTTAAATGAAAATTAATCGAATACAAAAAATGTGGATTTTTTTGTTGCAACGTGTTCTGCACAGTTAATTTTTGAGATAATAAAAATTATTAACGTTCTTTGTCATACACTTATAATAAATAATTGTTTCTTAAAAAACCCTATCAATCCTTAGGAAATTGCAAAATTGTCACTAATGTATTACATTTTTGCGTCAATATGGCTGCAAAAAAATACATTCAGGCAAACGACGGAAACCTTTTTGCTTACAGAAGTATTGGTGTTTAGCTTCACTTCAGCTTCTAGTACTTAAATATCTATCTTTAGTTGCTCTTTTTCCGTAAAGTGCAGCTTCATTTAAACCTGGGAAACATAAATAGCTCAAAAACGTCTTTCACGAAGGAAATCAAAGAGCCTAGGCTCAAGTTCGGCGTCTATTCATAAATAACTTCCCCTGTGAAAGAAACCTCAGTAGCTTTTGAACAGTTTTGGAGAGTTTGGAAAGTTAATTAATGGCATAAAGAGCGGTGGCCGTGCCACGTCCTGCGGAAATTACTACAGTGATATACATACTTAATAAAATTGGAATATTTTCCAAGATTTTTATTTACAAGAACTTTGCACTTAATATCGAGCATTTAACTGTCTTATTACAGATTGCATTTAACATTGTCTTCTGTTCAAATCTCTAAAACTGTTCACTATACCGCAAAAGCTACTGGAGCTTTATTGATAGGGCGCCGCACAGACTCTCCTTTTTTATTCAGTTTTTTTTTCAGAAGTTTTAATCAAAAAATGAAAACATATACGATTGCCAAAAATTTAACAGGTCAAATCTCGAAAACTGTTGAAAATACGTCACAGCGTCTTCTGTTCACTGAGTTTCATCAGAAATTCTTATGTTTTCAAAAGTTTGAGGCAAAAAGTGAAAACAAACACGATTGTCGAAGGTTGAACAGTTCAAATCTCGAAAACTGGTGAAAATACGGCAAAAGTCAATGAATATTTTTTTAATCGAGAATCGCGCGAGCTGTATTTTGCTCACTAACTTTCATCATAAATTTAAAATTTTTACTCTTTAAAAAGTTAGAAGCAAAAATATGAAAACGAACATAATTGTTTAGACACTTTAGAGTAGACGAGTTCAAATCTTGAAAACTCGAATAATACGGCAAAAATTAATGGATATTTTTTTATATCTATAGAGCCGCACAAACTGTCTTTTGCTCCTTAAGTTTCGTCAGAAATTCTCAAGCTTTAAAAAGTTTGAAACAAATACTTACATGAATACGAACACGAGTGCCGAAGGTTGAACAGTTCAAATCTCAAAAACTGTTTTGAGGGCTTTTTGAAAGAGCGCCACACAAACTGTCTTTTGAACTGAACTTCATTTTAAAGACGCAAATAACAGACTTACCTATCATTAATAAGGAAACGGTAAGATGATCCCTTCCAGCAGGCCGCATGGCCCCTAAAGCTGTTCCAACCAGAACACTGCACACAGCCACCAAAGCGATCAACGCAATAAACCATCGTAAAGATCCAGGCTTCCAGGAGAAAAAGTCGCAACAACTCTTTGGCGAATCTTCGGAAAATCTCGATCTGCAAAAGAACAAAAAAACCATTAGTCTATCTGAAATATTCATAAATTTGTAGTTTATTTATATTCTTTCTACTGTAAAACGCTAAAATATACATTATTCATTGCGACTTTTTATATTGATCTTTCGGTTTGTTTGAGCAAATAATAGGAAAAAAATAGGTTTTGACTTAGTGTGAAGTATTTAACGCAGGTAATTGTTCTCAAATAAATACCAGAGGAACTGAAAAAGCATTGGGAGACCGAACAGGCAAATGAATGCAAAATGAAGGTAAAACTGAAAAAATTGACTGTTTAAAATCTAACAAACATCTTCTTTATTCATTGCTTTACTTGCTTGCAAAGATTAAATTAATGGATCATTTATTCCAATGTTCCTTCTTTAGGTGCAATTTGTTCATTTCCTCATTGTTTAGCTACTCGCTTTAGTTGATCTGGCGATGTTTCTGATACATTTGTTTCCAGTTCTAAATAATTGAAAATTTTAGTGTATAGTTTCGATTGAATGCATACTTTTCAACATCATTTCAAAATAAATTGTTGATTCAATATATTTTTGTAATTTCAATTTAGCTTCTTAGCAATAAGATACTTTCATGCATGGTAATATTTAGATCCAAGTCCATCACAACAATTCAAAGATGATTAACTTATGAAACATATTTGATTGCAAAATGATGAATATTTCGAAAGCTGTTCTCTGTTCTAATTTTTTTCCCTTAAAAACCCCCTAATATATTTTCTGTTTAATGAGTCACGGCAACTTTAGTAATTAATATGCAACATTGCGATGGGGTCTGCAGCAACTTGTACGCCAATTTTCGTGTTTGCTCTTCAGTCTCTTACGCTTGACCTGACCGAATCCATCCCGTCCCAAATCGGCGCGTTCGCTTGGCTATCCTCCAATTTTCCTATTTTACTTTCCTATCTTTTGGGAATTACTTCCCTATTTCTGCGGCGAATTCGGATCGAGTCATATTTGATTTTTCCTCATATTTTCCGGAGTTCTTATCCGGGCCATAAAGCTATCGGTTTCGTTTCAACTGCACCATTTGAATAGCGAATAAAACCCGTAATGTTAGTGGCGAATTTCGAAATGTTTTTCTCGTTCCTTTAGGAGAGTAGAACACTCTTGAAGTGCACTTTTATGTTTGATTAATGTAACCGACCAGTTACGGTTTTCTAGCAAATCTCATTTGAATTTGCCCGAAATTTGTAAATAAATGGCAAAAGCAATTAATCCGGGAAAATTAATAATCAAGTTAAAAAAGTGATAATTTAATGGCTATCAAGTACTACGCCCTGTCCCGACTCTTCATTCAATGGCGGCTTGGGATTTGCAAAAAAGTTTTAATTAAATTCTTCAGTCAGCACGAAAACGATTTCATTTTGTTTCTGAATTTGCAAACGCGTTGCTGTGTGCCCGACAACGGCGCCTTTTCGCTTATTTATTAATTTGCTCTGTTATTTCTTCTTATGGCGATTTAAAAACAGACATTAACTAGTTATTTGCATAAATACGTATTTTATTCTCTCTTGTGCTAGTCGAGTTATTTAAAGTAGGGCAACCCCCCCAAAAAAAGCAAATTTATGGGCTAATCCACACTTACCCAAACCAATCAGAAACAAATGCCTCAATATCGCAAGATTTCCATCAATTTCATAGGTGTTGAATGTTGAAAAAACTGGTAAAATTGCGCGAATAAAATTCTTCATTTCGAGGATTCTGCCAATAAAATTTGTTGTGAAATGCCTAGATTCGCATCAATTTTTACATGTCCCATTTTTGCCCGTGGAAACGAACGTAAGTACGTATTTCCAAATCCGTAAAAATCCTATTATTATTTATGTTTGAGCAATATGTTTTCGGCAGTCGATATATTCCCATTTTGAATAGTTTCATACTGAAGTAATTTCCGGTGCATCTTGGCTTAAATAATCACCGGAGCCCTGCCCGACGAATATTTATTGAAGCAAACGATTCAGTTAGTATTATGCAATAAAAACGACGGACATTTCTCCCTTATGTGACCTTTAAATAAAGAGCAAAGCCTCAGAAGTATGCCAGCGACATCATATTGCGGCGTTCCCCATTCCATAACGATGCTGCTCTTTGTTCGACTGATGCTTTTAAAAATATTGTTTACAGAGACGATATTAGATTTCCGTGTTTTTGTTATAATTCTGTTTACCACAGGATTTTCTTTCAGGTCATTTTCATGATAATGTAGCAATATTTTCCTGCAAATAAAAATTGCAAACATTGCCAGCTAAATCTGTGTCAGTACTGGGCCACCCTATATAATTGTAAAAACAGCGTTTTAAAAATGATTATATGCGGTAGTCTTAATGGTTCCTAACTAAATTTAATTGTGGTTGCTTGTTCCATTCCTTGTCTGGTTTATTGAAGGATGACCAGGTAATAATATGTTTAGGTCAAACTTGATGATGTTACATTCAATATAAAATTATGCACGAAACCGAATATTATTAATTAAGTACCGTATGGTAACTTAAGCAAATTCAATGGCTAAGGTGTAAATATGACACCATTCTGTAGGTCACACGCAAACTGCGACGACCATCAAGCATGAGAAAAAATGCATGGAAAACATACATTGCCAATTAAAAAAATGATTGTTCACTTTATCAATTATTCCACCTTATTGCGCCCAAACAGTGGAGCTTATAAATAAAATTAAGGATCAACTAATGGCTTGTTTATTTCACAATTACTTGATGAGATTTTAATTTTTCACATTTTTTCGAGCATTCCTAATTGGTCCTTGTATTTCTTTTCCTGTTTAAAGTTATTTTTAGAAACATGATTCTTGTCCACTTCGGGCAAAATTACATCGGGATTTCGGGCTCTAGTTATTGCTACTTGTTCATATTTTACAGTTTTTCCTAACGGGTTTTTGTTGTTTTTGTCTTCAATATATTTACTAGCGTCAATTGAATAAATTGCGAGCAATTGCTGTGAAATCTGTTTCACCATCTAACGGGAATATGAACACGTAAAGCCATTGACAAAATTTGTCCCAATAATTACCCGATTCGATTCGATAGTGTGAATGAAATTTACAAAATTCGCTACGGTCTTTGCTGCGAAAAAACTCACTCATTTTCCGTACAATCTTCTATAAGTCAACTCGACTAAACAATTATATATCCGGCTTACTGAAATTACACACGAAAGCCAAACGGGTTTCGGTACATTGGACAAGTGCTTTCGCTTAAAAGGACAATGCTAAAGACGTGCGAAAAGTTGATGCCAAATGAGAGAAAGTCCTTTGGGTGTTAAAATTTACGGTGTGGAAGTTTTTGGTTTGATTTAACGCAAATATTTGATTTTCATTTCTTTTATTAGAACCGGGACAAAAGAACTATAAATGAAGAATTTTTACAGAGTGGACATTTAAGGTACAATATTTCATACAAGGGAGGATTCAGCTTTAAAGTAAGGGGGGTCATGTAATAGAGATTCAGTCAGGACAGTCTTCAATTCAATTACTGACGGATTTCGTCCTTAATCCTAACCGATTGTTATCAACAATATTAAATATGTAAATATTTGAGGATGATCCTCTTTCGAGAAATTTAGCTGCAATTTAATATTTCCTTATTTATTATGTGTGTACATATACACGCAAATAGTCTCAGTCAAAATATTTCCAGTGCATTTAAGGCCGAGTACCCGAATTTTTGGAAGAATATAATTTTTTGCCTAGAGAGGCTTCTTTTTTAATGGTGGTTTTGCTCTAAATGTTTTTCTTTGTACGTACAAACGACGTACGTACGGTCTAAATTTGCACATTTCCAATTTTCAAAAAATTCGAAAAACATTTCCAGAAAAAAAAATAAATTGCATTTTTTTAAACCATTCAGTTACTCCTATAAATACACTTTGGGGTTTAAAAAATCTTGATGCGGCGCCAAATTTGTAGCGAAAGAGCGTGTTTCCAAGAACAACCAGCGCTCAGATCTTTGAAAATTTACACTCCTCTGGCGCTTAAACGGTGACCAAAATGAACTTTGGCCCTGAGACAGCTTTTTACGCCAAGTCTATGGGCTTTTTAAGAGTTTTTGAATTTCTGCAAAATGTTGATAACTTATTCAGTTACAGGGTAAGGAGTATGTGCAAGATTGAAAGTTTTACGCTTGCCAATATTCAGAACCCATTTCGTTCCAAAGTGTTGCAAATATAAATTTTCTTTTAGGCAGTGAATGTTTTGAGACTCCACTTTGCAAACAATCTTATGTTCTACTTTGAAAATGAGTTATTCGAGGTAAAAATGCGAAGCATTTTGTTCGGGAAATCGTCTTTTCGACCTTAAAACCATAAAGCTTCTCTCAAGCTTTTCAACCGATTGCAATTTTCTGAAATGCCGTTTTTGTAGGAAATCGTACATTTTTCAACAAATTTCCAAATCGGCCCAATATTAACCGTTATTCAGAAAATTTCTCCATACAAAAAGCTATCTTTCAAAAAAGAATGCGCTCTTAAATCGGCAAAGAAAACATTTGCCTTCAGAAATCGGCTTTTCGACCTTCAAACTCTTATGACTTTCAAGTTTCTCAACTGATTTCAAGTTTGCAAAATACGATTTTTAGACATAATCACTCGCTTTCAAACGAATTTTCAATGATCCAAATCGGGCCCGCATTAAGAGAGTTAATAAATAAACTAATTTATTCATACTGAAGGATCTGATGCGCCAAAAACAGCATAATATGGGTGTCATTCGTGTTGGTGTTTGCCGTACCAAAATCCTCCCGATTGTTTTTATATTCTCCATTTAAAGTTGAACTATACTGATGACTTTGAATTTTTAAATCCATAGAACATTTCCAAAAATTTATTGATTCCTTAGTGCAAGCCTTTATAGAAATTTCGTTTTTGCCGCTAACGTAATGCTTTTCTGTGATTTTTTAATTTTCATTGCTTTAACTCCATTTGCAATTTTCTCAACTTCAGTTCGAAAAGTCGCTACGAAAAGTT